ATATAACCCTCATTACTTACATGAATCAAAAAGTTGACATGGCTTTGAGCAGCTGCTCGAATAAAGACTGTCACAGCTGTGAAGGTCATCCTATTCTTAGGAAACAAATTTTCTAGGGGGTCAGTCAAGCCCGCTTCCTTTTTCAATATTGGAGCTAAATATTTCATAGCGGCTGCTAACGAGGCATGATAAGGTAGTAGATAATGAGGAATATCACCTTTAGTGCCCCATGCTATGAGGTCATAGGCAAAGGTTATAGGGAATTTGCCTATATTTTTTTATCCAATATAGCTAAAGCACCTCCTGCATTCTTTATTGTATCATGTAACTCCTACCAATTAAAGAAGGATACGTATCAAATAATTTCATTCAACTTGTTTTGCATAGCACACCGTAGAGCAGTCTTTTTTTAGATACATAAATTGAGTTGAATTGCTACACTAGGCATCCTGGATTTATATCTTTGTCTTGCTGTAAAATGACGAACAATGATTTGCATCCTGAGTATGTGTCATACATTGCGTATTTTTCCTCATTGATGGGATGTAGGCAATCAGAAGTTGACTTGCAGGTAGTCTCTAGATTAGAGATCCTGCCTTGCCCAGAGAAGTTGATATGCTTGGAGTAAAACTAGCTGTTGATTGTTTTTGTGTTATACCAGCCAAAATGTGTCAAAACTGGTGCTGTCCTTACTGTTGGCAAGGAATGATGCATGTGACACAGCAGCAGTCGGTACTAGTAACCTAGTTCCTACCTTGAGTATCACATTAACATAACTTTATGTGAAAGCCTCAGTTGACTAACACCATGATGGGAAGTGGAGGTCTATATCTTTGGGTCCATCTGGAGATGACTACAGCTTATGGAAGATTGTGACTTAGAATGTAAAATGAATATATGATAAAGCATATGAATCATCAGAGGAAATGAAAGAAAAATATTTGATATGCATCTGTGAAACCAAGAGAAAGGAGAAGGATGGAATAAATATGAAATGCAAGTGATCTGATACTATGGAATGGAATTGATACATACTATACACGAAGGGAAGTGAAGGTGTATTATGAACAAAAAGGCTAAAATGTCTGTCAGAAAGAATGAATTTGTGCCATCTAAGTTGTATGTCCATATAAAAATAGGCATCCAAAGGCCGGAGGTAGTTCCACATTGTGCTCTAGTGAATAGTGATAGTGGAATAATAAGGGATGAGTTTTAGGGAAAATTGTGCAACTTTCTAATGTATCATTCAGGCTTTCAAAATTCTGTTATTCCAGAACATTCTTCAAATCACTGACAAGTCTGTTTCTTGACTACCTCAAAGGGCCAACACCCTCATCTGTCGTCTTCTTTGTTTACAAGAACAAATCCTCTTACTTCTGGAGAAGGAAAGGTTGGGGCAAATCTTAATTTGGTTACATAACAAAAGTCATGCTACAGAAAAGATCTGTACTGGTATGTCTAAGCCTGTCTAGCATGTGTGGCTGGGAGAGGCCTACTTTTACAACAGAAACACAGTTAAGCTAACACCTCCAGCATTCATTATATCTCTCCATATCTTTCTAGCCTTACAAACTATCCTTGTTTCTGCCATGTTCATAGATAGCTTTATGCATTACCTTTTGGTCTTCAAATTTCTCACCTTTGTCTTCTGGGGATTTCACCAACTCCATCCACTTTCTCAGCCTTCCCCTTCCTCTTACTCCATTCACTCTTCTTTCATGAATTTATTTTGTGATTCAATCCTGTTTCTCTCCACACAATCATCTAAAAAGCCCAATGACAATGTTGCCCCACTATAAAGAATCACTACCTGTAAAAGAGCAGGTCCACAACTTGGGGTCCTAAACTCAAGATTATTGCTAGCTGAGCCAGTTGTGGCTCTACCTAGAGTGGGACAGACTTGCAGTGGTGACTCATGGTCTCACAACTACTCATCTGGAGTCCTGTGATATGCTTTATATTTAACTGCCTTTAAAGATTGCTTGAAACAACAATTGATTCAGAAGCAGCAGCCAGGTTATTAATGTGATGTATGTTCCAAGCCCACCATAGGCTTCTTATAAGTTTCCAAGTGAAATTAAAATACAGGTTTTAGCCTATAAAACTCTTTATGGCTTAGCAGTGAGGTACTTGTAGTACTGTTTTCATGTGTCCTGGGAGAAACTGCATCAGCTTGTGAAGATGGGGAACCATCAACAGTTTTCAATTGGTGTATCTGCGTTACAGAACAGCCCCTCTCTGGAGATTTGACTGGCCCCCGTGCTGCTAGTTTTCTGCAAGTTATTAAAAACTGAACTATTCTGGAGAGCCCTTGGAGCTTTAAGAGACCTGGATCCAGCACCCTCTTTCTCACAGCAGCTAGCCAGATATCTTTTGGAAAATCAGAAGCAAGATAATATCTATCTTCCATTTTTTTTATATTATTCTTGACTAGAAGCATGCTGCTTCTGGACTTACCTTGACTTACAACCATTGATAGACTGAAAAGCTGTCATTCTAATTGAATGGTTTTTAGCTGATCAACCTACTGATTTGTGGACTTATCCTCCGTGAATTTATAAGCTTCAGAGCAAGTTCGGGCATAGTAAGAACTCACTTTGAAAACCACCATTATAATTTATTTAAGCTTAAGACCTGCTGATTTAAGGCAATAATAAAGCTTATAGCTACTAAGATATTTTGCACAGTTTCCAAATGATTCAGAGGGATTATTGGTATACAGTGTTCA